ACATGTTTACTTGTTAAACTATTACTATCAAATGAAAAGTAAAAGAAAAATCTACACTTAAAATTGTGTTAAAAAGTATTATAGTCAGGTTAAATAAAAGAATAATATGAAGTATTATATTATTACAACATAACAATACTATTATTAAATAATCTCGATATTATATATATATATATATATATATATATATATATATATATATATACCCCACCTCCCAAAAAGAGAAAGATGCCTGAAGTTTAAAATGAAAAATATTGAATACTAGCTGACTTAAAGTACAGTTAATCTTATTTGAAGCAAATATTATTTGCTTTAAGTTTAAAATATCGCAGAAATGCATTTTTCAAACCCAACAATAGCTGTGTTTGACAGGACTAATGTTGTTCTGCAGAGACATTATCTCTAAAACATAATTGAAGAAAATTTCATGAGTGTCTTTCTTGTTTAATTCTTAAGTACTCGGTAATCTAAAAAAATTTTTAGAATATTGTCTTAATCTAAAACTTATTGAATTTTAGAAATGTTGACTTTAAATTTACTATACTCTTATTTTCTGATAATGTCATGTAGAGATTTTCCAAGCATAGCTTAGATGTGGCACAAGGCCGAAAGCATGGGGCACCCAGTGAGGATCGAATTCACTACTCAGTTGTAATTGTTCTAGCCAGACAAGCTTGCTAACCATTACACCACCTCAAGGTGCCCTGATAATGTCATGTATAGTCTATCATGTTTACAAAAATGGGCACATTTATACACATAAAAATTATTTTTGAAATATTGGTGTTTGATGATTTGTATTAAGCATTTCCATTTATGATTACTTATCACTTAATATCATCTAAAAGATTGAAATTAATACAGATTTTTAAAAGATTTAAAACTTAAAATTTTTAAAAAATGAAAAGGATTCTTGTAAAAATTTGTTATTCATTTAAGAAAAATTTTTCTTAAGATAATTTAAGGACATTATTATCTTATTTATCTTCCTGCATTGATGCTTCTCCTGACACCTCCCTGTGTCGGTGCTTCTCTTGACCGCTCCCTCTGAAAGATCTGTAAAAAATTTTCTTTTGATTTATGCTATTGACTGACACAAATAAGAATTTCATATAATTAACACATTGCTTGCTTTTACACAGTATTTTTATGCTTTTGAAATATTTTCACTTCTTTTTTTTTTTTTTTTTTTTTTTTTTTTGCATGTGTTTTCTATCTTTTTTACACTTTGTTAGCTAATGGAAATATGTACATTAAATAATTTTCTTCAAATTTTTAAAATGAAAAGGGCACTTGGTAACTTGTAATCAAAACTTGACACTTTTATATATCATAACTACAATGTTTACATTTTAAGTTTTGGAGATGGTATCGAGCAGGGGATACTTGTACAAGGTCATCAATCCCTCAAAGCAAAGACTGCAAAATAATTCATAATCTACAAACAGTAATTTCTCTGTAAGAACATAACCCCAACAAACTTGCTTCTGCTTGAAGATGAGCAGTAGAATATAATAAAATTTACTGGCTTAAGAGAAAAATATATCAAATCATTTCATGGTTTGAAAGTCATAATGTTTAGTGCAAAGCAATCCATAAAAATGAGTGTCAATATTTTAATAACTCTTTTGCCTTACTCAAAGAGGTTCATTAATAAAAAGCTCAATTCTGAAACTTGCTTTTAACTAAGTTAAAGAATCTATAGTTGTTTGGATGCCCTTTGTAATAGAAACATTATCATAATTTGTTAAAGGATTATTTACAATGTTTTTATGATGGCTAAGGACTGAAAAATATTATCAAATGTTACGTTGGAACTGCAAATATTTGGATTATACTAATCTGTATTTCTTTCTTGCTTGTGTGACAATAGATTTTCATTTGAGTACATAATGATTTTGATATGGTTATTGTATGTTAAAAATGTAATGGGAAGTACATTTGCAGTGAAAACCACTTAAAAAGTTTATTTAAAATCACTTATATTTGTGGAAATTTACAATAATGCACATTTTTATTCAGAATAATTTCAGTGAGATTCAGTTCTATAGTTTTGAGTTAGTAGTGATGCTAATGTAAAAAACTGAATTATGTACCAGCCAAAAATTTGCTTGACTTCCTTGGCTCTTCCAGTCCGTAATCATTCACGGTCAAGTAATATATGCTCAGCACTAGGAAATCATCCCTTCATACTGTACCTCTCCCATGTACCTGATGTCTGAGGTGTCTCAAAAGAGAGTTGTGAGAGGAGACTGAACAATTTTGTATTTACCCTGTGTTAAATTTGTTCCCTTGTACCACTTATAAAAATTTGAATATTGTAAATGTTTTTGATATAAAACTAACATCTATAATCTGCTTATTCATTCCTGGTGTTAAAATAGACAGATATATAAGTTACACTGTTGTGACTCCAGTGCAAGATATATATATATATATATATATATATATTCTAAATGATAATGATATGCTAAACTTCTTTAAAAATGAACATTTTCTTTACATTTTGTTGCTGGTTGTTTAGTAGCTATTTGTTGAAGTAACTTTCCTTAGTTGAAGATAATGTTTTTAATTTTAGGAATCCAGATATCATACTTGCAGTCTGTATGAATTCATTACTAATTAATGATCTGACCTGTATCTTATTTCATAAATTTTGAATTTCTTATTGGATTAATTTTTGCAGTTGATATTGTTACACATACTAAATAATAACCACATAATACAGACACAGTTTCCAAAGATGTTAATTTTTCCTTAGATTTGTCCTGCATATTTTAGTTATTGCATTCCTCAAAGGCCTACATATTGTGATGGATCTTACAGTAGGTGTTTATTTAAGATGTTGACAGCTTGACTGATAAAAGTTAAATCTAACTTTTTTCTGTGGTGGACTTACCTGTAAAAATACTTGAGGATTGTAACATGAGCACCCATTTTATATAATTTTTAACTACCCAGTAATCTTAAAAATTTAGGAAAAACATTTTCTATAGTCTGTTTTATTTAATTTTATATACATTGACTTTAAATTTAATCTAGTTATTGCTCATACTTTCTGATAATGTGTATTTACAAAAATTGGCATGTTTATACACAAATAAAAATCAATTCTTTTTAAAATATTGGGTGGAGTTGATGAATTGTATTAAGCTTTTCCATTTATGATTAGTAAATATAGTTTTTTTACTTAATAACAATATCACCTAACCAGTACAAATTAATATAGAAATTTAAAAGATTTAAAACTTTGTAAATTATTCTAATTAAAATTTTAAAAATGAAAACAATTCTTGTAAAAAGATTCATAAAAAAAAATTCTTTCTTAAGATAATAGTGTCTATAATATATCTTGCCCATAAAAGTAATTAAAAGGAGTTCTGCATATAACTAATATAAACATCAAATAGTACAAATTAATTTCTCAAAATTTCATAATATTAAATAAGTGTGGTGGGGGGTAACAGATGTAAAAAAAACTAATATATAAACAAGATTTTCTTTAAAAAAAGAAAAAAAAAAACATTGTAAAATAATTTCATTAATTTATGAATAATCCTGGAAGTTTTATTAAAATCTGACAGTTTTGCATGGATTCCCAAATCCATGTGTTTTTCACTACAAAAAAGATGCTCAAATTCCTTATACTAATCTTTGCAAACTTGCTCCCCACTTGACAAAAAAAAGCCACAAAAAAGATTTTTGACCAAAATTTTGAATGTTGAAAGGATGAAAAACTATAATTTAATAAATTATTTGGTTTTTCCGTTTTTATAAGAAAGATTTTGATGATAAAACTTTGTTTTTATTAAATTTGGGTATTTTTTTTTCCATCATGGTATGCACATTTTCTAGCAAATCTGTGGGTGTTCCTAATTTACACATAATTATAGTTCAATCAAGAAACTGTTTTTTGGAAATTATCACAATTTTTTTTTTTTTTTTTTTAAATTGAGAATTTATTATTATTATTATATAAATTGCATGCGTTGACTAACCCCATGCACACACAATTTAGTGGTGAAGATTAGAGAGGAAGAGGGAAAGGTTAGGTGGAGAAAATATTTTTATTACTGTGAGGTAGTTAAATATAAAAAACAAATTCACTTATTTTGAATTTTTTTATTTTATTTTACTTTATTTTTTATTTTTTTAATTATTTTTTATTTTATTTTATTTTTATTTTTTTTTATTTTTTTAAGTAAAAATTTCTATTTTTACCGACACTTTCTTACTATTTTGGCTAAATATGTTTTTAGCTAATATAATTCATTTGTGAATAAGTCCTGAAAAATTCTTTAAAATCTGACAATTATTTGATTTTTGCAAACCTTTCCAAAACAGTGTTTTTAATGCCAAAATGGTGGTAAAAATTCCTATAGTTATCTTTGGCCCTCCACTGGTGCAAGAAAAACAAGGTTCTTAACCAAAACTTTGAACATGCTAGAAAGGATTAAAAAAATTTAAATCAAAAAAATACTTTGGTCTTTCTTTTTAATAATGATATAAACATTTTGATGGTAAAACTTTTTTTTTTTTTTTTCATCATTGTATGCTCTTTTTTAGAAAATCTTTTGAGGTACCTATGATTTGTGTCCAGTTACAGTTAGAATATATTAGTTACATTTTAAATAAATTGATGTTGTTTAATTAGTACCAACCAACAACAAATTCCTTTTATTATGTCATTACTGCTATGGGTTGATTTTGTACAATGTATTGCTTTTCATGGGAAATTTTAGTTGTGTACCCAAGATGCACAGATAGGAAAGTTATTGCATCCTTTAAGATGTTTATGCATCAGGGGTGCAGGATGTATCAATCCATACACAATCATTTAAGGCCACTATTCTAGTTTGTAATGCAATTTCCACTTTGACATTTTTTTTATTTTTTTTTTTAATTTCTTAATTCTTATGGTATCTAGTAATTTTTCTTGTTTTTCTAATACATTAACATAATTTTTCTGACTTTAAAATACTTTTTTGTTTTTATTTTAGGGATTCCTACTGTCAAGTTCCTGTTGACTCTTTGCTCAGCTCGTGCCAAGCTAACAAAATGGCAGAGGATCCAGGTCACAAAGCCATGTTGTATTTTCTTGAGGTTTTAATGAACCACAGCCCCTCCCCACTCAGCATCAGCCAACTAGCCGGTCGCTTTGGTAGTCGCAACTTTACGTCTGAAATGCGTCAGGCTGCTGGTGGCAATGAGGCGGGTCTGAAAAAGTTCTTGTTAAAATACCCATCACTTTTCACTGTCAATGGTAATCTGGTGTGTTTGACTGATGGCACCTGTTGGAGTAGTTCTGTGAACAATAATGTCCGTGATAGCAGCCCAGCGTCATCTTCCTCAAGTTTCAGTCTTCCCGAAGTGTCCATTGAGACAGAGGCTGTCCAATACTTTCGTAGTAAGTTTCTGAAAAAGGGGGAGAAGTGGATGGCTACCAAAAGTCTTGCTGGTCACCTGTCCCAGGCTTCTGCAGAAATCATGAAAAGTGCGTTGGTCCGCAGAATGAATTTGAAGACTGGTTGCACAAGCACCCACTTATTTTTGAAGTGAAAGGTGACATTGTTTGTCTGAAAGACAACATGGCTTGCAGTCCCCTGAAGTCAGAATCTGACCAAACTGAGGAGGACAGCCGACAGTTTGCAGGGGATTTGGCAATGCTCTCCTCCATGCCATTGACCCCAAAGCTTAAAAATCGGCCTCGCAGCTTAAACATCATGGATGCTAAGCCACTCAAACAATCTGGTAGCATAGCATCTAAAACTGGTCCAATGACCATGACTGCCAATGAGTATAAAGCAGTAATGTTTTTGAAAAATATAATTGAAAAAAAAGGTGACATAAAGCTCAACAGTCTGAGTGGACACTTCAGTCAAGCCCCGGAGAGCTTGAGGAATACTATTGGTTGGAGCAAGACAGAGCTAGAGAAGTTCTTACGCCAACATTGCAATATATTTGCAATATCAGAAGATGAGACTGTTTCGGTGATCAAAAACACCAGATTAAATGTTGTTATTACTGGCAGCAAGCCCACATGTCCTAACAAACCCACTATTACCAATCGGAAGGGAAAAATTTACCATGTTGCTAAACTGTGGGGAATTATAGATTTGGGGAGGCATGAGCATGTTTTCATTGATCGTTGTATTTTTGGGCGCCATATAGATGACTTGAATAGACTTTTGGCTGTAGGTGAAACTGTTTGTTTTGATGCCATCCCTGCTCCAAAAGGCAGTCGTGCCAGGTGGCGTGCAACAAGAGTATGGAAGGAGAATGAATCTATTGAAGACATGATTGATCGCTTGGCTGAAAGGCTACACCTGCCACTGGATGGGAGATGCAGAGATCCTGGCACTCCTCTAGGCAACATAGACGATGAGCTGAAGAAAGTGATTCCAGACCTCAATGACAACAATATCTTGAATTCCCCAGTCACTGTTGGAGGCTTGAAGTATGCTTTCTTTGATGCAGCGCCTAGTGGTGCCGGTGTAGTGCCTGTATGGAACTTCAAGTCTGTTGAACTGGAAGGCATGAAAGACATTGATGATCTTGATCTGAGTGATGAAGCAGGAGGAGACTCTCAAAATCCATCAATGGTTGCTGAGCGTTACTACATGAATCAGTCTGTTTTGGGTGACAGTCCGCGAGATATGAAGTGCCGAAATGGAGACAAGGAAAACATGGTGAATGGATTGAGTACCAATACAATCCTTGAAAATGGGGATTTGTTAAATGGACAAGCTGCTGATAGCTATGGTGCTGAGGTGGAGATGAACAACGAGCGAACCAATGGTAACAATAACAACTGTTGTAAAAAGCAAGTAGATGCATCCTGCCAGACAATTGTCACTGGTGATATTCTTGCTACACAATTCTTTCATGAAGGTATTTAGTACTTAGTTACTCTCCACTTGCCCAGCATCTATCTTGGCAAGCTCACAGAGCAGGGAAATTATTTTTTTCTAATAGTATTTCAACTTACACTCTATTAAAACAGGAAAATATTAAAAGAAAAAAAAAAATCAAAAAATGCCAACACATTAAGTTATACATAATATTTATGAAAATTTAAGTTTGAGCTTGTACACCACCTTCACTTCTCTCTCTCTTTTTTCCCTCGTATTAGGTGTTTTCCTTTTCCGTTTAATTTCATTACTTCCCTGCATCTGGACTTGTCTATGGAGACGGGGGTAAAAAAATAAAGAATAACAGTTTGATATTCCCCCCCTCCATGCAATAATGCAACACTGAAGGAAGGTTTTGGCCGACATTTACCTGCCTTTTTGGTTTCATGTGCCTTCTTGGGGAAAAAGAAATTCATCTCATCTGCTTAACATTTTTTTTTTCTTTCTCAACTCAAAAAAAAAAAAAAAAATATATTGTTTGCACAAAAAGAACTGTTTGGCATTTTGAAATGAGAATTTTTCGGATTTCAAAATTTGTAATTAAGATTTTAACCTCAACTGGACAAAAAAATGTTTCATTAGTAAATTGAAGAAATAAAATGTTCGTTGTAATTATGTAAACCATCTACCTGTTGGCCCACCATTTTTCTTCAACATCTCCCTTTTCTTTTCTACCCTCTTTCTTTACCTAATTCCATTTGAAATAGTATATTAAAACTCTAACAAACTTTTCTTTTAAGCTTTGTAATTTATCAAGATTGATGATTGTAGTGTCTGGTGTTCAAAAAAAAAAAAAAAAAAATTAGTTAAAAGTCAAATTACTGGTGGATTTTTTCTTCTTCGCAACTTTACTTTCTACCTTATCTATCCAGAATAGCAAGAAGAAGAGGAGGAGGAAGAACTGTTAGCAGCTGTCATTGGCTCCCACATTTTTTTTTTTTTTTTTTCCCCATATCTATCTTTCTTTCTCTTTCTCTCTCTCTCTCTCGGATTTCTTTCGCTAACTTTAGAATATTTTTGGGTTTTTCCTTAGAAAAGAACTTCATAAATGACATTCATTTATTTTCTGGCTGCATTGTGATTTTGGATTAGGCTAATTCAGACCTTATTAAGTAATTACTGTTTGAAATGTTCTCTTAAATTATTGTCTAAATTAGTTTCAAAACTTTTCATCTTTAAAACTGACCATAGAACTTCAGTTAGCATGGATATTCTTTATCAATGATTGAATCTTTCAATGGCAATGCTTTTTATTTTATTTATTTATTTATTTATTTTTGGAAGAAGAAAATCTTAAAATATTCCAATATGACATTTTTCAGTTTTTTTACTAATATTCACTTTTGTAATGTATTAATGCTAAAGATCAAACCTGATGTAATTAGAATTAAATCTGAATTTATTATTTTTAATGACTTTTTTTAGATTTCAATTAAAGGAGCTTATCTTTTATTCATTACCTTTCTGGAAATTTGTGGAAGTTTATAATTAAAAATTGATTATTTTCATTCTTATCTACAAAAATAACTTGTATATTCTCTTTTATATGGGGAAAGTTGTACTGATTTCCTAATATTGTGACAGTTAAGTTTTAAGCTCTTTAAAGAAGTCTTATTCTGATGAAAAGTGTAAGGTTTGCTGGTGTATTTTATTTTTATACACACTAAATTGGAATTTTCTTGAATGCTAATTTTAAGTTAAGTTTAATGGCATTAAACATTTTGTATGCAATTAAATAAGCATTGTTTTCATTTCATTTTCTTGCTTGGGTATTAGAATTTAAAAGTCCAGGTTTTTAAATCTTTTATTTCAAATTGATAATGATCATTTCATGAAAAAGCAAGTGTGATTACTGTTATAGTGTTGTTAATCTAGTATCAAGTTCAAACAGGTTCGGGTTAAACTGGATCTTTCTCATTTTGTGCTAATCACATTGTCACTTACATGCTTATAAAATATGCACGACTTAAATGTCATTACTGCTCGATTTTTATGATGGATGTATTTAGAATTTTCATATTTGCTTCTGATTTTTAATGGTTTGCTAGTTTTACTCCCAATTAACTAGGAAGTTTTTTGTAGAAAAACATTTTTCTTCCATGATTTTGAAATTTTAAGAAAACTTTTCTCAAAATCTTCTTGTAGCCTTTGACAGACTGAAAAACAATGCTTTGGTAATTTTTCTATTTACTGACTAAATCTGAGTTTCCAACTTCATTCCAAATTTTTTTTCAGTGTCATAAAAGACAGAAAATGACTATCAACCAAAATTGGAATATTTTAAATTGAGTACTAACTAAAATGACTATGGCACTTTGTACAGTAGAAATTAAATTTTCCACTTAAAACAGTCATTTCTAGTTTGTATAAATGTTTTCCATTTCTAGAAATTAAACACACAAAATGTCTTGCAAAGATAATCATGAATAAAGGTTCATTTACTGTTGTACAAAATAGAAAAAATAAAATCTTTGAATTCAAGATTCTACTTTTAATTTTCAAAGACTTGGTAGTTTTACTCCTAATGTTATGAGTATCTCTGATCTCTTGGTAGTGTGGTACCCAAGCTTACTCAGGGGTTCTGGTGAAATTTAATGAGCATAATCTGAAGCTTTGCTTTACATTTCCAATATTTGTTTTTAAGACTTGAGATCTTGTTTTCACACACACATATACACACACACACACACACACACACACATATATATATATATATATATATATATATATATATATATATATATAATGCAATTACACATAAAGTGAGCACCTGAATCTGCTCATTTATGGCAGCATGGATTAATTCATTATGCCATGAAACCCTGGTAGATAAAAAAAAAAAGAAGCCATCTTTTGCAGTACAAAGAATGATGACTGGATTGTGGCTAAAACTTTTCTTGGTATATTATCAAGATGACAAGTTTTATTTATTTATTTATTTTTTTTTTTAAATATCTCTTATACAAGTCTAGCAAAGTTTTTTTTATTTTTTTTTTTTTTAATGATTTGCTAGCCAACAAACTGCCTGACTGCCTTCTCATTTTGAATTGGTACCACCTTGCAATGAAGGCCTGTTAGTCTCAAATGCTTTTAGGCTCTTGAAGAGTGTTTACACCTTTTCTCCTCCTCCTCTTTTGAATAAATATTTGTAGTGGTTTTAATTCCACATATAATTTTTTATCCTCAAAGTTTTCCTCTCCCCCCCCTCCAATATTTTTGTCTAAACTATTAGTGTTTCCTTTCTCTTTGCCAAATGCTTTCTCCAAATTTTAAAATTGTTTTTATTTTTATACTTTGTATCTATCCAGTAATGATACCAGACTTGATGAAAGCCTTAAATATTTTTTCTATACTAAAATTTTAACTCCTCTCTGTGTGTAAGATTTACATCTTGATAAACTGGGCCTATTAAATAATTCAGTCTCATTTGCTTATTAACTGACTACATCAAGGCTTATTGGAATTACATTTATTTTGATAAAAACAAAACTCTATCTCACTCTCAAATCTACTTGTATTGAATGCAGATATTTTGCTAAAATTGTTACTCTCTTAGCAGTACCAAGTTGAACCCTCAGCTGATGTTAAAAGCTCTTCTGAGTGTTTTTTTTTTTTTTTTTTTTTTTTCCAGACATTTGTGTAAAACATTTTTAATCTTGTGGCAATCTCACTTCTGCATTGATTGGTTCCCTTTTCTTCAAACAGGACTTCCACCTTTTCAGTTTTTACTCTATTTACTGTAATTTGATCATCAATATTTGTGATGTTGATAATCAGGGTTCCTTTCATTCAGTGGTAATTTTCAGAATGTTAGTCAGCCTTTATAGATGTGAAATAATAGCTAATTAGTTGGTTATATAATAATGACTCAAGCCAGAGTATTCCAAGTGACATGCTGACTTTAATAATAGAATGTTTTTGCTGAAAATATACAATTTTTTTTTTTTTTTTTTTTTTTTTTATTAATTCATTGCTTTTAATTTTTGTTTACTTGCAGTAAAACAAATTTGCATTTTTATCTTACATTTTATTTTCTTGTTACTTCACAATTTTTTTTAATGCCAGGAGCGCTTGTATTTGTAGCTAACATTTGATTTCCTTTAAGAATGGATTAAAAAAATGACTTTTATTGATTGTGCCTATCAACAAATCTGATGACAGAATTTACCCTTCTATCAGATTTTCTTTTTCTTCTTTTACCCTTAACAATGTCCCCTCTATTGGTTATGCAGCTGGGAAAAAAGATAGGAATTAATGTTTGAATGTTCTCAAATGTGCAATATCGTTGTCAAGCCAATCTGAAATTGTGGGTCTGTGAGTAAGGTTATGTCATTTATTGGATGTAATGCCTTTTACTGCATTCAAATCAAAGCTGCTCACAGAAAAAGCATGACTGTTGCTGAGCTTTGTGGCTGTTTTTTTTTTTTTCCCTTTTTCTCTCTCTCTCTCTCTCTCTAAGCAGTTCACATACTTTGCTGATTATTATATACTCAGCATGATAAATTGTGAAAAGTTTTTTTTTTTTTTTTTTTTTTTTTTTAGAGCATGGAAATCAAAATTATTTTATCTGGGCAAACTTTGATAAATCTTAATCTATACTTAATTGGCTTTGATTATGTTTCTTTCTTTTTTTTTTTCTTCTTTTTTTTTATAATAATACCATCTTAAATCAATTTTTAACTTTTACTTCCCCCTCTCTCTCTCTCTTTCTCTGAACATGTGTGGACCCAGCATAAACATGGCGACCAAAAGAAAAACAATGTCAGTAATTGTCTTGCTCACTCAATTGTTCTGCATACACAGTTTTTTTTTTAAATTTATTTTTTTATTGTTTAATCTGTTCATTTTTTCTTCACTGACAATGTGCTGTATTTTTAAAATGCTTTAACATAAAAATCAGAACATTTTTTTCCTATGTTTTTGTTGGAAGAATTTTATAACTTAAAAATTAATTTTGCTCCTCTTCAATATTTATCAATTTTTTATGG